ACTATAGAAGAAGAACTACTGAATAAGAACTATAGAAGAAGAACTACTGAATAAGAACTATAGAAGAAGAACTACTGAATAAGAACTATAGAAGAAGAACTACTGAATAAGAACTATAGAAGAAGAACTACTGAATAAGAACTATAGAAGAAGAACTACTGAATAAGAACTATAGAAGAAGAACTATAGAAGAAGAACTACTGAATAAGAACTATAGAAGAAGAACTACTGAATAAGAACTATAGAAGAAGAACTACTGAATAAGAACTATAGAAGAAGAACTACTAAATAAGAACTATAGAAGAAGAACTACTGAATAAGAACTATAGAAGAAGAACTACTAAATAAGAACTATACAAGAAGAACTACAGAAGAAGAACTATAGAAGAAGAACTACTGAATAAGAACTATAGAAGAAGAACTATAGAAGAAGAACTACTAAATAAGAACTATAGAAGAAGAACTACTAAATAAGAACTATAGAAGAAGAACTACTGAATAAGAACTATAGAAGAAGAACTACTGAATAAGAACTATAGAAGAAGAACTATAGAAGAAGAACTACTAAATAAGAACTATAGAAGAAGAACTATAGAAGAAGAACTACTGAATAAGAACTACTGAATAAGAACTATAGAAGAAGAACTACTAAATAAGAACTATAGAAGAAGAACTATAGAAGAAGAACTATAGAAGAAGAACTACTGAATAAGAACTATAGAAGAAGAACTATAGAAGAAGAACTACTGAAGAAGAACTACTGAATAGGAACTATAGAAGAAGTACTCTTATATTGCTTAGTTTTTACTGAATGGAAGAGATGTATGATATTTGTGAAAATCAAAGAGCCAAATATCTTTATTCATGAAGAAAATGGCCGGTTTCGAATACAGTGCTAAGATTTGGCAAATCCAGTAAACTTAAACTACTGGATCATGATTGCCTCACTGTATTCAAAATCATTTTATCATAAATAATTAATATCATACAACTATATCACTCTACAATTGATTTATTGAACACTATTTTAACAGTGGTATTTCTATATCACTCCACAATTGATGTATTGAGTACTATTTTAACAGTGGTATTTCTATATCTCTCTACAATTGATGTATTGAACGCTATTTTAACAGTGGTATTTCTATATCACTCTACAATTGATGTATTGAGTATTATTTTAACAGTGGTATTTCTATATCTCTCTACAATTGATGTAGAACACTATTTTAACAGTGGTATGTCTATATCACTCTACAATTGATGTATTGAGTACTATTTTAACAGTGGTATTTCTATATCTCTCTACAATTGATGTATTGATCACTATTTAACAGTGGTATTTCTATATCACTCTATAATTGATGTATTGATCACTATTTAACAGTGGTATTTCTATATCACTCTACAATTGATGTATTGAGCACTATTTTAACAGTGGTATTTCTATATCACTTTACAATTGATGTATTGAGCATTATTTTAACAGTGGTATTTCTATATCACTCTACAATTCATGTACTGACACTATTTTAACAGTGGTATTTCTATATCACTCTACAATTGATGTATTGAGTACTATTTTAACAGTGGTATTTCTATATTGCTCTACAATTGATGTAATGAGCACTATTTTAACAGTGGTATTTCTGTATCACTCTATAATTGATGTATTGATCACTATTTTAACAGTGGTATTTCTATATCACTCTATAATTGATGTAATGAGTACTATTTAACAGTGGTATTTCTATATCACTCTACAATTGATGTATTGGACACTATTTTAACAGTGGTATTTCTATATCACTCTATAATTGATGTATTGATCACTATTTAACAGTAGTATTTCTATATCACTCTACAATTGATGTATTGATCACTATTTAACAGTGGTATTTCTATATCACTCTATAATTGATGTATTGATCACTATTTTAACAGTAGTATTTCTATATCATTCTATAATCGATGTATTTAGCACTATTTTAACAGTGGTATTTCTATATCACTCTACAATTGATGTATTGATCACTATTTAACAGTGGTATTTCTATATTTTTCTATAATTGATGTATTGATCACTATTTAACAGTGGTATTTCTATATCTCTCTATAATGGGGTTCCGAGACAACTTGTCTCCCCTTAAAAATCACGGTGGCGTTGCGTTCGACACGGACCATACGGATTAATAACAAGATGGCTACTTCTGTCAAAGATACGTCTTTGTCTTTAAATGAATTAAGGATCGAACTGAAGAAACGAGGAGCGAAGTTGTCCGGAAGAAAAATTGATTTAGTTGAAAGGTTTGTATACATTTTCACCTGTTCAACACTCAAAATCACACTTAACACGTGTCTCCGCTTGATCGTATTTGACAGGTCACACCTGTCGACGTCGTGTTGTTTGTGGTGAGATGTCGGCGCAGGTCCATTTTTCCGCTTTTTTGTTCAACAAGGCCTAAAACCAAATGCATAATTATTGATATCGTCTTTTATTACTTTTAAAAACTTCCGATCTTAATCGTATGTTGTTCAATGCAGGCATTCGTGATAAGTGTGTTTTGTCTGTTTGCTTTGGAAATTGTAGATTTCAAAATGCAAATTTAAATTCATATTCCTTTTTTGTTTATTGGGCTTTATATTTTAAAGAATTTATATTTACTTCTCTAAAAGTTGTATTCATTGTCAATGTCATTGTATTTAAGATCAGATAGCTCAGGGGTTAGAGCACCAAGTGATTTTAATGTTATGTTATCACTCTGATCAAGATTTTATTGTTTATTTGTGTCTTGTGTATGCGGAATGTTAATTAAGTGCATACAAGTTGTATTTCAGATTCTAGATAACAGTAATTCCTGTGAACGGAAATTAAGATGATGATTGTAGGAACAGATGAAATTTAAGTATTGTAGATCTATTTCACAATTCACTTTAAATACCGGTATCTAAATATTACAATTTAAGGTCCAGAGATTCAGAAACTATTCAAAATTGTGATGCATAAGGAATAATTTTTGATCAACTGAAAAATACAAGTGATATGTACCATATGACATATGTATTTAAATATTTCATATTTGTAGGTTAGAAGCATACAGGAGAAATTATAATTTTGGTCGGAATGATTTGATTAATGCTGTAGAATATAGAGTTAAAACACCAGTAGATGATTTATATAGAGATATCAACAGCAATACAGAATTTGTACATATTCGTTTGGAAAATGTTACTTCATATTTATCCCTCTTTGATAAACATTTTGATAAAAAATCAAAACTTTTGTATGATGAACAATTTTTGAAATATGTCCGAGTAACTAAAGTAGACGATCTTTTTTATGTAAAGTCTGCATGTTGTGCTGAAATGAAGAATTCCTGCTCTTATGTTATTAATATATGTTTTGACAATACAGGATCCATCGTAGAGAGTGAATGTGAATGTGCTGCAGGAATGGGACCAAACTCATACCAAGCATGTATGTACTGTTTTGTATGCTTGTGTTGATTTTTCAGAAAATAAGACCATTAATACACAGGAAACTTGTACACAAAAGCTTCAGACATTTCACCACTCCAAGAAATTCACTGGTTCTCCAATAAAGGCTGAAAATCTAAATCTTCCAGGGTGTGACCAGACATGTTTTGATTTTGATCCAAGACCATTGGAATTTCGCAATCAAGATTCTTATCCTGATTGTTTTCGAAATGTTTGCCTTAACCAAAGTTTTTCTCCACAGATGCCTATATTTCAGCTGTATCCTCCTGTTAATTTTCTAGCAGTAGCACATGACCATGATTACTTATATAATTCTCCAGAAGATATTTTTCTTTCACATATGCACATTTCTCATATTAATTCACTAATTGTTAAAAGTATTGAACAGAATACAATTGGCCAGAGCAAGAACAAGTTATGGTTTCAGGAACGATCCAAGAGAATTCAATCATCAAACTTTGGTAGAATTTGTACTGCCACAGACAACTAATTTTCAAAGATTGGCAGAGTCATTGATAAAACCATCAGATATTAGAACAGCACCAATTCTCCATGGGAGGAAGTATGAAGATGCTGCAATTAGAAAGTACGAAAACATTTCTCAAAATAAGGTCACAAGATGTGGAATCTTTGTTTGTGAAGAGTTCCCGTTCTTGGCAGCATCACCTGATGGGTTTATCAATGACTCAACTGTGATTGAAGTTAAGTGTCCATATGTTGCCAAGGATAAAGTTATATCTAGTTCATCTGTTCCATATTTACATGAGGATAATGGTTCTTTTAGTTTAGACAAAAAGCATACTTATTTTTTTCAAATTCAAGGGCAAATGTTGTGTTCCAAAAGAAAGAGGTGTGATTTCATTGTTTTCACTCTTAGGGATATTAAGATTATTAGAGTGGAACGAGATGACGAATTTATATTTTCTATGATTAACAACCTACAGGAATTTTATACTAAATTTTTTAAAGAAGAATTCCTCAATGAATTTTTTTATAAGCCGTATAATGGCCCCATTTACTAATACATTATTTACATTTTATCATCAAACGCTGCAGTGATCTT